CTATAATTTTATCTTATTTTTCATTTTATAAATATAATTTAGATTTTTTATTTTATAATTAAATTAATTTTTTTTATATCTAAAAAATATAATGGTCCACTAAAAAGTGAAGACCAAAAATAATTACATAACCTTAATATATTTTGTATAATAGTTATAGATAAAATTTAAAATAAATTTAAAAGTTTAATATAATACTAATATATTTAATAATTAATTTTTTTTTAAAAAAAAAGTTGTGTCTTATATTTTATATGCCCAAAGCACTTAGCTGCCGAAGGTGGCTCATTTACGTGGAAAGGGAAGTTTCTCCTTCTCCGTCCGTGTGGCTCCTTGTGGCTTCTTGTGGTCTCATCTCATTGCAGGTGATTCCATTGTAGATAGATAAAATGTTTTTGGTTCCATTATTGATGCAACTTCTCCTTTTATTTCTTTATTTGTTAAATCGCATGTTAGGGTTTCGTTTAAGTTGTGGTTTGCGTAATTTTTGTTTCTGGAACGCGTTCTGCTCATACTGGGTTAAATATTCATCCGGAACGGGCCATTCCGGATGCAGAACGACCCGTTCCAGATGCAAATATGATTCTGATTAAATATTTTCAATTTGTTTCCCGATTTTATATAAATTATATTTCAATTTTTTGTTATCAGATCAACTTGTAGTGGATGTTGTACTCTAACTTAGAGGAAACAAATTGTTTTACCGTACTTTGAAGGTATGCTTATTAATTTATGCATGTGGTACGATAGGCCAAATAAACAAGCTCTTTCAAAAGATGAACTATCAGCAAACTAGAAAGAAAGAAATCTTGATTACCAACAATCTTTCCAAAACATGGAAAAGTTCCTTGTATAACCTCCAGCCTATCTGTTAACTATGTAATCAAACACCTCTTTGTAATGCTAAAAGTTTTCTTTTTTTAACACAGGAAATGTATAAATAATAAGAAATCTAAAATTTGTAATCGGATGAATAAATTGCTTTTGGTTATTTCAGTTTGAGTAACTAATACAAAACAAACAAATTAAACAAAAAACAAAGTTATAAGCCATACCATCACCAGCGACATCGAGATTCCCTAGATCACCAGCATGGCGATTGACATCCGTAGGGCCACCATGCACCTTGCCAATAGGATCGAAATGTTCTCCTGTAAGCATGGAAAAAAACCAAGAGATTGAGCCTCGTAATATACTAGTAAATGATAAGATTTCACAATCCAACAGCTTTATAACAGATTGTATTGCTTGGCACATTGAAGAATCTTTAAAGGAAAATGCTAACTAAGAAAGGTAGAAAATTTATATTAAAAGATGTATCTGCACATTCTTCCATGTAGCTTTATTGTAGTTTTCAATGAAAACTTACCACGTGTGATTCCTTAACCAATGCCTCAAGGGCCCTGGTTAGCTAGACCCTTCTTTAAATTAAAGCAAAGTGTGTGTTTATTTTTGTTCCAGCTCATTAATGCTTCAGATTATTAAAAAAAAAATGATTCGGGTTATTGTCCAAAGACTATACCAGTTGACAGACAACCATTGGTAGTGTCCCCCAAGGCGTGTATATGGAAGCCATGAAAACCGGGCGAAAGACCAGTAACAAATCCAGTTACAGTGGTTAGGCCTGGACAATTCACAATATATGTTACTTCATTTAGCTTAATCCAATGAAAACAAAACAAAACAAAATTCTCTGTTGAAACTTACCATTTCCCTCCTGAGTGAAGAAAATTTTTCCATTGACACCCTCAGTACTGTTGCCAAGAACTGCCACAGCCTTCACCATTGCTCAATGTGATCTGAACAACAAAACAGCTATTTAAAGCAAAATATGCAAGACATGCACAAGCTCACTAGAATAGTATCAAGTGAGAATTATTGGTAAATATAGACCGTCAGATCATATTTAAATAGTAAAGATCAAAAGGTGAATGTACGACTTTTTTTTTAGGAGTGATGTAACCGCACAGCCGAGTTAACTGAGTTACATGGCAATCTAAACACAAAGATCCTACAAACTCTTTCGAAACTTTCGATTCCGATATAATTAACTGAGCATACCTCAGGGCACCCCCTTAGAGTGAGAAGAGAAAGAGAAGAGTCTAGAAGAAGAAGACGACGAGATATGAAGAACTGTGGTTGTTACGTTTTAATTTATAGTGAGTGAGGCTTGTGTAAGCACGAGATCCTCCACAACTGTTACCAACAACATTTTATTCATCCTCATCTACCCAACTACTAACTAATTTAACATTAGTAAAATTAGTTACATATCAATTATTACCCCCAACAACTTTCGTTATTTTTGGGTTGCAAATTACCTAAAACATTTAATTCTTTATATAATTATTTTTAAATTAAAATGATTTTAATTAAAGCACACACTTTGCTTTAATTTAAAGAAGGGTCTAGCTAACCAGGGCCCTTGAGGCATTGGTTAAGGAATCACACGTGGTAAGTTTTCATTGAAAACTACAATAAAGCTACATGGAAGAATGTGCAGATACATCTTTTAATATAAATTTTCTACCTTTCTTAGTTAGCATTTCCCTTTAAAGATTCTTCAATGTGCCAAGCAATACAATCTGTTATAAAGCTGTTGGATTATGAAATCTTATCATTTACTTGTATATTACGAGGCTCAATCTCTTGGTTTTTTTCCATGCTTACAGGAGCACATTTCAATCCTAATGGCAAGGAGCATGGTGCCCCTGAGGATGACAATCGCCATGCTGGTGATCTAGGGAATGTCAATGTCGGTGATGATGGTATGGCTTATAACTTTGTTTTTTGTTTAATTTGTTTGTTTTGTATTGGTTACTATCAAACTGAAATAACCAAAAGCAATTTATTCACCCGATTACAAATTTTAGATTTCTTATTATTTATACATTTCCTGTGTTAAAAAAAGAAGACTTTTAGCATTACAAAGAAGTGGTTGATTACATAGAAAGCTTCTCATAGACTTTCTGAGATGTTTATGGATGCCCGTAAGAAAAATAAGAAACCAGATTGGATTGGAGATTGTGTGTGGAATTCTTTATTAGAATCTTGGAATGCACCTACATATCGTACAAAGTGTACACAAGCACAAATAAATAGAGCATATGAAAAGGGTGGAAGTATGCACACATGTGGCTCCATTAGCATGAATGAACATGCCATTCGCATGGTATTATATTTTACTCTTCATTTTTTTAATGCTTAATTGTATATGTTAAATTTTTATTTATATAATATTTTTATTTGTAGGAAAAAGAGCTTGGTCGACCAAACTCATCTACGAAAAGATACTGGTCAATTTATTGATGATAGATCTAGGCGGACACATGTGAGTCTATTACGTTACTTATTTTATTTGTCTTTAATATAATTAATGCTTACACTATTTTAACGTATTGTTTATGATCATAATAGGAAGAGTTTGAAGCTAGATTTTCTCAAGCTATATCTGAGGTTGGGTCCACTGTTGGCACCTCAGAAAGCACCCATTTAGACCCTATTGACCAGGATAGACTTAGGAGTCAATGTTGGAATGCAGTTATCGGTGGAAAATACAAGGGACGCTGTTATGGTACAGGAGATCTTTATGAGAATGAGGATAGCAGCTTTGTGGGGACATCTTTAAGTCAGTCTCAGAATACACAGACATCAACAAAATTCACCTGGATATTCTGATTATTAGATATTATGTATAATTATACTAATCGTACTATGTTACTTTTAAATTTGAACTTCTAAACTTTATTTATGTATGACATTTTATTATTTATGTATGACATTTTATTATTTATGTATGACATTTTATTTTTTATGTATGACATTTTATTTTGTATGAATGAATTTTGTTTTGATTTACATAATTATGATTCAATTAATATCTTACCTCTGCTGCTTAGCCAATGCTTTCGGAATATGGTTTACGGATAACCCTCAAAATGGAGACTCACACGAACGGGACCAGGGGACATAAGGAATAGAAATAATTATTTAATATAATTTTGAATTTAAAAAAAAATATTTCCCACGGATTTATCCGTGGGTAATTTTCCACGGATAAATCCGTGGGAAAGTTTCCCACGGATAAAAATCCGTCGGTAAAATTTCAGACGACCAATTTACCGACGGATTGGTGTCCGTCGGTAATCCGTCGAAAATGCCTCATTACCCACGGATTTTGGGCATTTTCCACGGATTTTTGCCGTCTGAAATACCGAATTTACTTGTAGTATATGTTGTGATACATTGTTGTTGTGTTGTCAAAGATGTGATGATGTTGTTTCTTTTTCCTAACTTACCTTTTTGTGTTTTCATGTGATTTGGATTGTGATGATCATATGTAATATAAGAGCAAGACAAGGATAGGGCTGGAGTGTCGCAGTGGAGGCCACACAATGGCATTTGGAGTTGGATGTTTTGTTAATTACCTATTGGAGGTGGATTTTGTGTAGATAGTTATAGTTATTTGGCTAACAACTTAGTTGTATATATTTAAACTTACATATGTAGGACTATTGTATGTGATGTTGAACATATTCTGGTATATGATTTTAAGGTAATTGTTGTGGCGTATAGTATACGGATCATGACGGGTCGTTACATGATGTTGAGAATGTTAGTGATGAGGCCTAAATTTTAACGTCGAATTTTACTTTGATAAGACACATGACATTGATAAATTAATTAAAACTAATTAAAATTTGATTTATGTTATTTAATTTAAGTAATTTAATTTTAATTTTTTGTAATTTATTATTTTCGTTAAATCTAGTTTATGTTAAAATGTGATTTTTCTCAACCTTTATGATTTTAAGTATATTTATTTAATTTATATTATAATATTTGTTATGACATGTGATAGAGAGAGTCACGATAACGACAAAAGATAATTAAAATTTCCTCAATTAAAATTTAAAATTTTAAAATTGTATAATTGTAACAGGAAAAAAATCCAAGATAGATAGTTGTTGCCGTGGATCATATAGATTCATAGTGCATTGGCCATGACGCGGGAAGTAGTACGTACATTGGTTCAGAGGTGGGGCCCCATCGCTTGAATCCCGCTTTTTCTTTCTGCTGTCGAACCGGCTCCTATTTCAATCCGTGCTGGACCGATCGATATACCAATAATCAAGTCTTCAGTCAACAGGTAGAATACATTGCATCAACCTGGGAGCATTACCCGACTGGTACATCACCACAAATTTACAGTGTGTGGTGTGGTCATCATCAAAATGTGTGGTGGGAATAGCATACAACCACAGCCGTGCGTACATATCCGTGTGGTTCACGTAATTGGTTTTCTCTTCCCAACGACCTATGGTCTTCTGTAGATAAATTTTCAACTAAAAAAGAACGTGAAGCATATTGCTAATTACTAAAATTACTGGACAAATATTTATCATTTTCAATGTATAGAGTAAATTTTTTTACGTATAATTAATTTTTTTCATAAATTATATAATTAAAATGATAATAAATTATATATATACAAATAAATATTATATTAAATATTTTATTATATATATTTAAAATTTATAATAAATTATATATAAATAAATATTATATTTGA